CACCAATTTGTTTTAACTATCTAGAATATAGTAGTCTAGTAATGCGTAGTAGTATTTTTTTCTTCTAAATGAAGTTTGTATTTGTGCATAGTAAATATTTCATTCTTGTAAAGCAAAAAGTATATTTTAATAATTCAACATTACTTAGAATATTTTGGTCAAATCGGTTTCAACATAAATTAGCCAATCACATATATGCTCTTCTAATTATGCATTGGAACAAAAAACATGCATTTGGGACTTTGTCCAGGATAAGCTTGGAGTCAGTTCTAAAATGTCTCATGTGGAGTCAACTCAGGAACCACTTCCGATAAGCTTTTTAATAGCCCTAGCTGGAAACATAGTTCCATTTTGATCCTTAATACATAGCTTTACTGTAAATTCTGATATATGCTTATGATCTTCATCTTTACTATTATCTTCAAATAAATTATATAGAATTGGCTCTTCATCATAATTAGAAGTAGTAATATCATAACTACTATTTTCATAACTAGTTAATATATTATTATCAATAAATGCATCACTATTATAAGATGATATTTCTTGAGACTTGCTTGTTTCATGTTTATGAATTAGCTCTCCATAATTAGGAGTGATAATATCGTAACTACTAGTATTATAACTAGTAGATACATTAAGAGATCTGTGAATTGGCTCTTTATAATTAGAATCAGTAATATCGTAACTACTATTATTATAACTAGTAGATACATTATGGATGTTCTATAGAATAGGTGGGCAATATAAAAAATAAGCTTCGCTAATGATTAGTAATCATTAATTTTTTAATATCGGAGTTGCGGAGTTTGCAGAGTTTGCCCACCTATTCTTTAGGACATCCTACATTATGATCAATAGATGTATCAAGAGATATTTTTTTTGATAATTTTTTGTTTTGCGCTTGTTTGTTATCTCTGAATTTTTAGCACAATACCATTTTGCATTACATGAGCTACAAAGAGAAAATTGAAAATTAGGGGAAAAATCAATTTTATAATTGCATATTACATTTTGTGCTTCTAAAAGATCAAGTTTCTTTGTTGAAAAATCTTCCCGATATTTAATTTTAAAAGCCCAAGAAACTTCTTTTGTTCAATTTTTTTTATTAGGAGCTTGGGTTTTTATGCATCGCAAGTTTTTAAAAGTGTATCTTTATTGCAATAAAGGCACTTAGTACATAAATAGCAGGTGCCAATAAGATAAGTTTTGGTAGATTCCATATAGAGAATTCTGTAAATGAATAACAATTTTAACGAAATAATCGTACGATCATGTAATAAAATCGCAATTGCAATCACAATCACAATCACAATCATTTTACAAATATTAGTAATCAAGGGGGTCACATAATTTTGCAAAGCGCAATAATAATGAAATAATTGCAATTTATTTCACTGGTGTAACCCGATTTTTTTAAACAAACAGCGAAAAATCACATCTTAACAGTGAATATATAATAACGTAAAATTGCAATTAATTGACTAATTGTGGCAGCGCCACCAATCAATTGGGCTTGAAAAATTGCCCTACAATCAATTATTCGGTAGGCCTGATAGTATGATACTGTAAAATATTCCAATAAAAACATTTAAGATTCAAAAACTATTTTTTCATGAGAATTCCATATATTAACGACAATTGTACCTCCGTCACTATCACGTAAAGTAAGCATACGACGATCAGAATTGTTAGGATTTAAATACCCACGATTTGGTGGAAAGTCACCGTCATCAACGCCACCAAAGTACAATGCGCTTACTTGACCATAATGTGCATCTTCACCCCAAGTACCACCACGTTCGAGAGATAATAATTGTGTAGGTTTTCCAGGTACTAAGCCTGGATAAAATCGTCCAGTTTTCCACTCGTCATTGCCAGGAGGTTCACCAGTTCATTGAAGATAAAGACCATCATCAGATCGGAGAAAAAAATTTCTCCATATACTATTTTTGATTTAATTCTATCTGAGGATAATGGTAAAATAGTAAGATAAAGAGCTTCTACATTTTTTGAAAATCTCGTTGCATTATTTTGACGGGCAAGATAAACATTAAAAGTAGGACTTCTAATACGAATTCGATCTCCAAAGCAAATTGGTTTAACAACAGGTTTTAATATCTAGTATACCAGGAACGTAGTAATGAAATTACGAAGTGTATGGTTAACCGACAACTAGAATGGGCTGTGAACAAATTCCGGGTTATGATTGGATGGAGGTCAGACATGTGAAACTATTATAGAATTATAGAATTATAGAACGTGTATATATATATATGTATAAAATATATATGCATGAATGGGTGTGTTGTAGGGTACTCATATGGTGGGGTTCTTCTGATTGGCCTTTGAAGGTCGATTGCCCGGATAACTTGTTTATATGCCTTAAAGTACATTTGAACAATTCGAAGTTTGTTAATGAAAATTCGACACAGATATCGATAATGGTTTTAGAGAAGGAATGACGTCTACTATGTAGGAAAACTCTCAGAACTGGCACGCTTGGATATGGGGTGAGATACGCGGCCGTTTGTCAGATGACGCTAAATTATAATGTTAATTAAGGGTATTATAAATAATTTTATTAGACCA